CAAGGTGATAACTAACTAATTCTTTAGGTATTTTCGTATTTTCTTATTTTTTCCGGTAGTCACTAGCTTGGGCAAGCAAATTGTGGGAAATAAAAGCGAGATACTTGACGTGGATGCTCTAGCTACCATAGTATATAAAATATGTTAATCTGACTACTCTTTAATCAAATCTAAGATGTCGTGACCAATTTTTAAAAAAAATTATTTCGAAAATTTGAAAATGGAAGTTGAAATTATTGAATTTAGTCCCTATTTTAGCCCACCTTTAGATTTTTGCATTGCTCTTTTGTAACGCTTGGTTTTAGGTAAGCATACTCGTTAAATATATCATTTTCGAACATTTGATGGGTTTAGTAATTTTATTAACACCAAATAGCAAAAATTCAATTTCAATCTATACTTTTTGAAAATCTGGGACAATTCGAAATAAATGTTGCTTCTTGAAAGATCGATCCATCAGGCACGGTGAAAATTCGGCACTGTTGCGGCTAACTTGGAAGGTATGATCACCTTAAAATTATAAATAGATAATTTGTATTGCATGCACATAATATAAATGCATCAATAATTCAAAAACAGTTCAAAAATTGTATTTATAAAGTTACAACCTGTACAAAGTACAAAGCCTGTACAACCATTATTATTATTTTTTTTTTATTGCTATTTTATTAATTTAAATTTTTTACGGTTTTAAATGAGTATAACTTTCAACCTTGTGCAAGAATTTTGAGCTTGACTGGTGGTCAAATAGACTTTAATATGATGAACTTGATGATGAACATTGTATTTAATGTTCGAATGCTTTTTTTTCAGCTCTTTTTTTTTCAGAAGCGAAATTCGTGCAGCTACTATGATTATTATAAAATTACTATCCTTTTAATATTAACTATGAATAAGCATGACAAGAGCCTGAAATAATATCTATTATTATTGATTACGGCTTGCTTATGAATAAATAAAATAAATAAATAAATATAATTACTAAGTAATTCTTGTTGTTCTTGGTCTTTTACCTTGTATCCTTAAATAAAATGCCCGATAACCAGGTAAATTAGTTTGTCGCCACACCTCTAACATACTAATGGTGTAAATAACTTATTATTAATAAATCGACAATGAATTTTAGCAGGTAATAAATTAAAAAATACACGTATAACTTTTTATGACACTAGTGTTTGACATGAAGTCTTCATCTAAATTGTAATAGCATATGTAGCTAAATTTTTGAAAAAAATGTATAAGCCATAATAAAAATAGAAAATATATCTTGCTTGAATTAAAATAATGTGATCATTTTAATACATTTTTTTGTTATAATTTATTTTTATTTTTTTAAATTTAATTAAGGTTTTAATGTTTTATATACAAAATTGATAAGTGCAAAAAAAGAAACACTGCAAAAAATACAATAAATTGAATATAAAATAAAAAAGTTAAAATAAAATAAAATAAAAACGGTAATACAAAAATAATGACATAAATAAACTATGGCGTGATGATGTATGCCGAGTACTAAGTCAGGGCACGTGCAGACATTGGGCTAGGTGTTTGGTCATTTTAATAGATGGAAAACGATTAAATATATCTTGAAAATATATATTTAATTGGATTATCAGCTATCCAACTATCAGACCATGCGGTTTTATAATTACACTTATGTCTTCGCGAATATGCTTACGCGCTTTAAATAGTTTTTTGTTTAATGGCTCAGGCGTACGTGCCGAACATCAGGTATTACCTATTTGGTGACAAACATTATATCTAGAGGCATTACATTTCATCCAAATACAATGTTTAAAATTTTATGCAAATATTTCGAATTAATTACATTGTTGACTTAGATTACTTAGTTTTACATTAATTTCTTTTTGTACTTATCATCAATTCGAGTCAACACAATTTTTAGTTTGCTGAAGATAAGATATGTATATCTCGTACCCGTCTGAATTTCCTTATAATCCCATATGATCAGATAGTAATTATACTGATAACAAATTTAATAACAAGTTCAGTTCATTGCTTTATAATTATTGAGCAGTTTAGTATGACACATCAACGACCTTGCTAAGGTGAAATGACCAAATGATGTAAACGCAATTCGCGTACGCCGCAATTTGGAGTATGGCCAAAACCAAATATTTGTTCTGCGCGAATTTACAACACATGGATCAGGCTTCACAGAGTTTTAAATTTAATAGACAATTTCACTGATCCACTCTGAATCGGTTCTAGAAATAGCACGTGTAATAGTCCACTGAGGTCACAAGTAATAGTAACAGCCAAGATTCATCAACACAATTCTACCTGGAAAATAAATGAAGAAAATAGTTATATATTTATTTTTTATAATTCAAATTATTACAACAGATATTAACCAGTATTGATACAACACCACCTTTCATCTGAAAAAAAGCTTAATTAGTAATAATATATCTTTTCTGCATATAATTGCAAATAACTGCGAATAATAAAACGTATTTTCCAAAATTAAGTCTAGTAATTTTGTTTAATGTTGACTTCACAATGTAACGATAGAATTATTAATAAATCAATTTTGCATTAGCACTAATTAATTTCCAAGAAATTGTTATTATGGTCAACAAAGTTATAGACAAAATGCTGGCTGAATAAGATAACCTATATTCTTATCAAGCTATGTAAATGTTTGAAATAACTTCTTATGGAAGCACTATAATATGTTTCAAGTTTTTTACTTTCTCGAATAATCCAGTAATATAATAAAAATATGCAATAAAAAAGAAAAGTTTATTTCAAATCATCCATGTTTGGCTCCAGAGTTATTTCTTGGCACTATAACTCGCATATCGCGTCTTTCTGAAAATATAATAAAACACTTTTTCATTTTAATTCTGGATTCTGATTTATTATTTAATTTTGATTATTTAGTTATACATGTGACATGATTGTAACAAGTATGGCAGATATTGGAGGTCGGAGGGCATGTTAGAGAACTAAATTAATAGTGACTTGAGTAAGATTCTTAATAATGGATTTTCCAAGAGATTCCAATAATCTTATATTTTATCACAAATACTATATATAGATACTGCAATAAAACTGTTAAAGTTTATACTTTAACTGTATAAGTTAAAGAATTATTTTAGATAGTGCATAGAAGTCCGGTTATCGGAAAATGACATGCAAAGTATTGCGAAATCTAGAGAAATCGTGTTATGAAAAGTAGTTTAGAAACTTTGGTGGCTACTAAATAGTCATCAATTTACTTCTAAGCTAATATTTTCTTTATAATCTGACATAAAATCTATATAAAATATGAATATTTATAAATTTCAATACAGACGCATTTGGTAAGTTTTATGATTATAACAAATCCATTAAAAAGATATCTCGAGATTAAAATATTTAAACATTTTTCAATATACAAAAGTTAAAAACGTAATATTTAACTAGATTTCTAACTAAAAATCTATGACTCAAATATATGTTTATTTTACTTAACCTATTTAAATTTGTTTGAAGCTAATGTTAATTAATACATTCATTTTTAATGTCACTGTTTTGTCATAGCAAATACATTTTTAAACTAATCTCGTACTAATACTTCACTTAGTGCTAAAACATTTATATCTTTACCCAAATTTTACTTACTTACATATTCAGTCTGGTACAAAATTTTGTACAATTAACATTTGTTGACACATTCGCACATTTTAAAATTTGATTGAATTTTTATTGTATGAATATTTCTAACGATGAGTTAATTTTCATTTTGTCTACTGTAGATCTAAGGCTTTCTTGTGGAAAATAGAAGAGGCGCGGTAAAATTTACATATATAACCAACTTATTTATTGCAAAAGCATAAAATTACTCAGTTACAGTTTAAAAAATCTTGCTGTCTGTTAATGAAACACACTAAAGTAAATTTTACTTCCAGTAATTACCGAAAATCGTAAAGCATTTCAAATGTATTCTAATTTAGTGAGATTTTGAAATTTTATGTTCCTTCAAAGTTTAACTATATTACCACATTATTTGAATTACAACTTTTTCACTTTACATAAATAATTTCAAATTTAAAAAAATATTAAAAATATATCTCACCAATATTAATTTATGGTGCTAAAATATTTTCATTCATTTTTAATTATAATTATCGACATTTCATGCTTACTGTCATATTTTTCAACTTATATTGAAAAAATAAATAACGTTTCTAAATAAATATCTAAAATATAATAGTCGTCTCATCATTGTCTTAAACTAACTATTTACAGACTCCCCCTAAATGCTAATTCTATCTAAACCTAATATACTGTTGGTTTGTTTTTATCGGTAGTCATAATAATTTATATGTCTGTTATTCAGAATCCTTGAAAAATAATTCTATATATTGAAAAATATCATTGCAAAAATAAATTAGATAATGAATTAAATAAAAAGAAATCGGAAATCATGACAAGAACAGAGTAACAAATACAAAAATATAGTTAACAATAATTGTTTTTTTTAATTCCACTACCTTACCTGAAACACAAATTACTTTCCGATTTCAACCAAATCATGGAAATTTCATATTAACACAAAATATTAGACAATGATTATCTCACTTTTTAGCATCTTCTTGGGATTCAGATTCAATTCTTATCATGCTGTGTCTTTGGATTGATTCTTCCGTGTTTGACACCAAACTTAGCAAAAGTTACTAGTCACATTATAAAAAAGGATAAATAAAAAGCACTAATATTTATGTTGGGCATATCACCGTCCTAAACGCATCGCACGAGACGAGCGCTAGCGTAATATATACAACGCTATGTACACAAGACAAGGTACTAGCAGCAGAACGTCTGCTAGATGCTGTTACTAAATCAGCATCATTTACTGTTGCTGGAACAGTCATTTCAATGGTCATTGGTACTGACAAAGGTATCACCGTCATTGTGACTGTCGTCCTCGAGTTCAACATTGAAACAGTCGTCAAGAGTGTTGCTGAAACTGCCGTTGAGACTGTAGATGACATTGTCGTTAAAACAGCCATCGACATCAAGTTCGCATCTAGTCATTTAGCAGAATCTTCATAATCCGTCATAGAAGCAGTTACTTCCCAATCATCTTCAGTCGACGTATCCATTTCTTCGTCTTCATCAGCAATGGTCCTTGATTTCAGTGTCGTTTCAATAACTTCCAAGTTTTTTTTTCGCTGCTTAACATGATGATGCTTATGTTTCGGTCCATGCTTCTTGTTAGCTAATACACCTTCTTCTTTCTTATTCTTAAGTGGTTTTTTCTTAGGCTTAACTTGAGGAACAATTTCTTCGTCTTTTCGTTTTCGCTTCTTTCGTTTCTTACGCCTTCTACATCGTCCACGATCTCGTCCAAACTCATCCATTTCAGGAGCTACTGATGGTCTTAAAGGCACCAAAGGACACATTCTCAGAGTAGGAATGATCCCCAAATTTCGAGCTAATCTATCCAGTCTTTCTGGAGAGACAGTTATAGGCAAAGTCCTGGCGTATGTTGACAATTTTCCCAGCGGACGTGCTGCTGGTATCTGGACTTTACGAGGTTGACCGAATTTGTTGAGTGCGAGGTACAGAGTTCGCAGACGTCCGGAATACAGTGTAGAGGAATAGGTATTGTAATTACCTTCGGCTAATTTCTCGCTGAACACGCAGTCCTCCGTGAATACTTTCTGAAAAAATATATAAGGATAATTATATTAACGTTGTAATCAAAGTTAAATACTTCACTTTATTCAATTAGAAAATATTATGAAATAGATTGCATCTTGCTATGATTTCACTTTCCAAAATCATCATAGCGCATACTTTCTTGCTGGTCATTTATTTATAAATATTAATATTTAATTGGACAACTTTAAGCAGTTTATAAACTTGAATTTTTAATACGGGCACATTCGTCATACAATGTAATGGGAAACCAATCAGAAATACAAGTATTGGAAAGTCAAGTTGAAAAATAAATAAACTCAATCATTTGACTTGCATAGAAATACGATAAAAGCAATAAGGACAGAAATATATCAATGAAGTAATAAAAGTTATCAAGATCGAAGTTATTTTCTAGACAAGTTCTCAAGATGTGCGATTACGTTTCGATGGTATTCTATACGAGTATAGGTCTCTTATCAAATTTATTATATCTATAAAAAAATTTAATCGCTTCAAAGATCCGATATTTTGACATTCATAAGCATAACGGAAATGCATAAGATGGTTTCACATAAATTTCGTCAACCGTTTGATTTATTTCAAAAGATGACAAAATTGGAACTAATTTTCGTACGTATACGCACGCCATTTAAGCTAGATTAGATATTAATTAAAAACAAAATTACTAACAGTTAAAATATGCATAAGTTTTACAATAAAAAAATATTTTTATCTGTAACCCTTCTAACCCGCATGTGGATACTGTAAAATAGACCCTTCTTGAGTAAATTTTTGAAAGTCAAACGATTCAGATAACACTTGTCTGAAGTCAATTTAAAAACAATAAAAATGCTGACAACGGTATGTATCATAGATAACGTGAACATTTCAATCAATATTATTGTTAATCTTATAGATTGTTTTAATTTTATAGCCTATATATTACGACAAGTTTACTATCGTTGGTTCACAGGACATTGTATAAAATTTTGTTGAAACAAATAAATGTAGTACATACATGTATGCATGTCGAAGTCGGAAATGTGCCAAGAGTTTTAATTTAATCTTCAATAATATTAATCAAAATTATCATAATATAAATATTCGTATGCTCTATAATTTTATAAACTACCAATTTACTTGTATATGGCTAATAAAAATATTCCTACTGTGCAATTAAATTTGCGAATTACAAATTCACTTTCCATAATACATAGTTATTTGTTTTATAAAATAGCATTATTGAATTTATCATGCCTACCACATAAAACAAAACTAACAAACCTAACAAATGTATAAAAAATCACGTTCCTGCACTTATAATCAGTTTTCTCAATTATCATGCTGTCTTAGAAGAGAAGCTACATAACGACGTCAAAGAGTCTTCTTAAAGAGAAATTCGCTTTAAGGTACAGGTGTTAATATGTTTAATGAACGACATGACGGTTTTGTACTGCCCACAAGAGATATGATGTGCTGATAGAATTTAAAATATTCTGTGTTATAAAAATATATAAAATAGAGCATGTAACAACATAACTATGTATGCAATTATTAAGAAAGAAAGTGCAAAAAATTACCTTAAAGATTAGTTAAGAAAATCATGTGAATAACACAATGAAGAACATTGGTTGCTTCATACCGTTTTCACAGTGATCAAATAAATGAACCATATAGTGTAATTTTTACGTAAAATATTTTATTTGATTATTCGCATTATGACAAAATTGAAACTAATTATCAAACGTGTATTCACGCAATTAAAACTGCTGCATAAATATTAATTAGAAAAAATATTAATTAGAAATAAAATTACTAGCAATGGAAATCATACAAAAAATGAATGAATTTAACAATCAAATAAATAATATATTTATCTTTAATGCCAGTAAAAATATTTTATTCTTTACATTTTACATTAATTTATTATTGCTTAAACTCATATATTTGAGTGGAACTAATATTAATTATGTACATTACTAATACATTATTTTTGCAATGCTTTATTCATAACCTTACATGGTACAGATTTTTCCATATTTAAACATATTTTCCAATCATTAATTTGTAAAATGTGGTAATATTTTTAGTTAATTTTACACTAATCAAGGTCTCAAAATATCTATAACCTATAGCCTTATGGAATAAACTTAGTGCAAAAATAGACAGTAATCACATTTACATAATTAATTTTTATATATTATGCAATTAATGCCTCAACAATATCACCAGGAAATACTATGTGTACATATTCACTTGATTTTAAGTCAAAGAGATGGATACAAAATATGAACTGGCTTTCAATATAACATTATATAAGGTGTTCCAGAACTCAACGTCAAGCCGAAACACATCCTGAAAAAATTAGAAAAACAATTTATCTCACTTGGTTTGGAAATTAAGAGCCGTAATCGTCAATAGCATTTCTAGGATCAAAGTTAAAAATTATTTCAAAATTGCCACAAGTTTTCGAAAATTGGCTTTTTAGTTAACCATAAATTCAAAATATTTGAAATAGGCCCTTCTTTAAAAAAATGTACTAAAGTATGTTGGCAAGATTTATCAAAAGTTAGCTTATTTAATTAGAAATATAAAATAATTATATAATATATAAATAATTTTAATAACTATTGAGTTATTTTTCCAACATGCACATTTAGTATACAATGTCCCTTTACGGCTGACAATTGTAAATTACCCAAATTTATTAGGTGTCCTTAACTGGACGGTTGTAAATAAAATAGAGAATAATAATAATAATAACAATAATAATAATAATTTTATAATAAAAAACGAGTAAAAAATAAAAACCTAAATAAAACAAGGTCAAAACTTACCATATTATTTTTAGGTTTTTATTTTTTACTCGATTTCACTATTTTTAATACTAATTGAATGCACTAACTTTTGTTGAAACTTGCCAACACACTTTAGTACATTATTTTTTAAGAGACAAGAAACAAGAAATATATATATTTTTTACACACATTTTTTAAAAAAAAATTCTCTATAAAATAATTTCTATATATAATAATTACTTTAGCATATTAAAATTATTATTTATAAACTATTTCTTTTTCATTCATAATATTTTATATTCAAAAATGTATAAGCGCCTACCTGGCCACCAACGATGATACGAGGGCGTGCTTGGATCAACCAAAAGCTACATTATTAAAACTCCTTCGTTTTTTGGTAATTGATTTAATGCTGTCTACGGAACCTATGATTTTATGATACTTGATTCTTTGTTTGTTATTTTTCTATATATGCATATATAAATAAATTCATATCATTTTATAGTTTATGCTTTAATGTGTACCCATATTATATTTAACTGTCGCTGTGGCCATATGTTATTCGATCCTGTTTTGACTTCATAAAGGCGATTCTATGGATGAAGCATTGACAGCAGAAAATCCCAAATAATATAAAATATAAAATAATAATTTGAAAAAAATATGTATGCCATTATTATAAAATAAACAAAAAAATTAAATGTAACTTCATAAACTTAAAAGATATGGTAGTTGTGTGAGCGAAATAGTTTATTTCTATCGATCTTCATACTTTAACCGATTGACATTATTTCTAATTTATCGATCTTAAATTTCAGAATTTATTGAATTTTTAGAAAACGCCAAAGAAAAAAGAATTTGTTGCATCATAACATTTGCTTAGTTTATACTATTTGCAATCATAAATTTTATCATGTTCCCATCAATCATATTTTAATGATTTTCAATTAAACAAATTTAACCTTCCCAGAATTAGGTTATATTCCTTATAAGAACCGGTCAATCGTTCTCTATATATATTTTAATATTTATAAATACACATTCAGTTATAAATTATCTGTCATTCATAAAGTTTCATTATTTCTTTTATGCCACACACTTTACACAATGGGTACTTATGTTTAACTGTATATAGACCCATAGTTTATTATTTCCTTGTTACTTATAAATAATATTAATGGTACATATTAAAAGGATCCCCTTATGAGATCCGTTTGAATAAAAGCAAACTGAGATATGATGTCATAAATGTCAAAATATAAATTTCTTATGTCTGGGAGGTATTGTTATTTACATAATGTAAAGGGCAAGGGATGGATGAGTCGGTTTCATGGTCAAGTTTAGTTATTTATAAATTACTTGTTTATAAATTATTTATAATAAATAATATTATTGACTTATTCATAAATTAAAAAGTAATATGTATATAATATGAGCAAAGCAAAAAATATAAAAATTTTAACATTATTATGACTTTAAGTATTTTAGTGAGTCTCGTAAAGAGTTTGTAAGAAACCAATAATCCTACTAATTGACCTAAAACCCTATATAGTAAAATTGATAATTATTGATACGCGAATGTGGCGCTTAATTATTGTTAATTGTGTAGTTATAAACTATTTGATGAAATGCAACTAATGAAGAAGTTCGAGATTTTTTTAACAAAACTTTTTGGGTGCCAATAAGATGGAGTAGGTGCGCTCATGAAAAAATATATTTTTTCTAAAGTTCAGAAAATCAATAAAATTTCTTTGAACGCATATTCATAGAAAAACCAAAACAAAAATACGAAAAGAACTATTAAAGGAACATTAAAGGAAAGGAAATTAATTTGGAGTGAGTAATTTTTCAGTTTAACCAGTGATTTAAATTTTTTTAATGATATTTTTGATTAGGTATAAGATTAAAACTAAATAAAAAAGCTAAATTTTATCAAATAAATACAATTTATATATAAACGTATAGTGTGGAAGTGGCATAACAATAGGAAGTTGAAGTAAAGAACAGGATATCGTTCCAGAAAATAAATGTCACATCATAAACTAAGGAAAATGATTTATATATCCTTAGCTTGTTATCTAAAATGTGTTTTGTGTAAAAGTTAACGTATTCCGTGTAAAATAATTTGCTCCTAGAGATAATAGCTAATTAAAAATTATAATTTTATGCGGAAATAAAATTTGTATTAAATATGCATAAAAGTTTATAATGCACTTATAGAT